TCGGGATTTTTTTTTCGTCTTTATTCTTCGCAGCCAAAGCCGTTGAAACGTTTCTGTCTGACGGTACACCGTTCTCCCCATCCCACCCTCCCCCTCCCGGCTTCAACAACATCTCCCGCGCGTCGCCGTGCAGCCCGGCTAATAAATTATACAGCGAAACCGATAAAAACAAGAAAGCTTTGCGAAAGTACAAACGCGGCGAAAATCGAATTCTACGCGCTCCGCAGAACGCACGCGATCGCACGCGTGGTCGTCGCGCTCTTCGGGGGAGGGGGAATTTTTTATCAATATTTTCGCACGGTGACGACGGTAAATACAGAATTAGAATTCGCTATACACGTTCCATAACAAATCCTCTCGCCCTCTCCCTCCCCTCCCCCTGTTCTATATGTTTACACCGAAGACCAACGTAATTATTTCGATACGAATTCAATATATCAGCACATTGTATCGCGTTTAGTACACATCGATGAGTGAAATCCCGAACTAGGCGAGTAATAGTTTCTCAGAAATGAATTGATTTTATTTTTTGTTTTTTTTTTTTTTTTTTATCTATGTACTCTTTTCTACAAGACATCTTTCTCCAATCAAAAACTTTATAAGAACTTTATCGTTTCATTTTTGATCTTGTTGCTACATTGAGAAGGTAATGTTTTAATTTTTCTTGTAGTTTTTTGTCATAGTTTATGGGAAAAACTGTCAATTTTTTCTATAATTTTGTTGACTATTTCTAAACTACCTCGGCAACAAGGGATAAAATACTATTAATAATTCTCCACTCAGAATCGGTTTTCGTTAGGAACCGTTTATTGTCGCTACAGATACAAGTTAAATTACTCTGTATTATGTTTTCCATTCGTATTTCTCTCATAAAACAGCGGCACACCATCAGCAAAAGTACCGGTACAACAGTAGCAACAATACCTTTCTTCGAGTGTATACGAATTTTATAAAAGCAATACGATTTCACGAAAGGAAAATTTAATCCGATTCCATACAACGCTAAACAATCGAAAATTTACGCGCGAGTAGAAACCAAAAAATCTGTTCGTTCGTTTGACGGTTTTTTTTTTTTTTATTATTTCTTTACAAAATACAATCGTTTTACTTGAAAAAATAAAAATTGAAATTGAATTAACCTTATTTATAGGTATGAAAGTTATACCCCGATCGGGACAAATCCTCGGGGGCCACTGTATAGTATGTAATATATATATATAAATACACGCAGTTCATCTAATCTACTCGATAAACGCGCGTATTTAATGAAAAAAATAAATCGTAATTAACGTGCGATCGATATTATAGTACATTATACACAGTACGAAATGTAATTCTATTGCCGTACGTACTTTTTATAATCGAGATCTGTCGATAAAAAAAAAAACAAGACTAATTATTGTAAGTTTTTTTTTTTTTTTAAATAAACCTGAAAAATTACTTCGCATAAAAAGCGTTTCGGATAACGTTCTCCGGTTATATATACATACATAAATTCATTTTTTTTTTTTTTATCCTTATACTAACATCGCAGGTACACCTACCTATCGTTATATGCGTCTCTAATAATAATGTTGTTTTTTGTTCTCGAGGATTGTAAATAGAATATTATATATGTATATATCTAACCTAATAAAGTAAAAATAAAATATATTCGCACGGTTACGCGTGTTATAACCGTTACTCGTTTATTCGAATAAATTGTTATTCGTTTATCTCGCACGTTCCATACGTAAACCATACGTAGGTTTACGGAATGGTTATGTTTTCGAGAAAATCCTGCATCACCGTTGTTATATGTTGTTATATTTTGTCTGTGCAGATCGGAAAAAAAAAATGTTTTAATTACAAAAATGATATATTTTTTTAATTTACAAATAGTGTTGAAACGCAGTTAATATCAATTTCAATATTTATCGATAAATTAATAAAATGTAAGTTATTTCAGATAATATATGTAATATACAGAAGATAAGCAAAATTCGGCTAATTATGAAAAAAGTTAATTTATTTTAAATTTTCGAGAACATTACAAGCAGCAAAAAGACCTGAAAAATATCATAATACTACTACGCGTAGAAATTGTTCAGATATATTAATTTATCTAGATAACATTACTAAAAATGTAATTCATTTTTTTTCATCTTAGATAACATTCAGACAGATAAATTTGTAAATTTGAATCTACATAATAATCTAAAAGACAAAAAAAAACTAGCTACGTTTATCGAACCAAGTGTCAACACTGTTTACAAACGGTATTTACACGTTATAAAAATATTATTATATATTTCTAATCCGGAACCCACCAGAATAAAACGGTTTTCGGTTTTTTTTTTTTCGAAGAAAATAATATTGAAAATAAGTTTCGTATGGAAATATTGTACAAAACAAAAAAAAAAAAATCGAATATTAAAATTTACCGTTATCAAATACCAAAGCTCAGTACGCGTTTAGTCCTCCAATCCCGGATGGATTTTAATATTGATATCAATGTAACCAAATTCAGAGGGGCGGCGCCGCAAACAAAGATTAAGGATAACGTGTGTGGAAATTATATCGAGTCCTTTTTGCGCTAATGTTTTTGATTTTTTCTCGTTTTAGGTTACAAAACACGTTTTACTTCTGTTTATACGTTTCAGATGTATGTTTGTAAAAATGTAAATGCATCAATGCCGATCGATTTATTTCTCTGACAATGTTCATCACTCCTGCGATTTCCTTCGACGGCCGTGGGCCCATCGAATACACGCGGACTCCGGGCCCCCGTGCGCTGCAGAAGTATCGTGACATTTACAGATTCTGATGAACGGATATCGTTTACTGCGGATTTAAACGAACGAAACAAAATAAACATTTCCAGATGGAATTATAACTCGCGAACATGATAATCGTTCGGGCAATCGGGCAATAGTTCTGGTGGCTATGCACACAACACGAGCGAGCGTATTTGTCGTCCGTTGTTCACGGTTCGTGATTCGCACGAATTCGGCGGGGTTTTTTTTTTTTCGAATAGTTGTGAACACGGTTCTCTATACACGCAACATCCGTGTCGGCCTGGCTATGGTCACTAGGCTGTGAACGCTAGAGCCTGGAGCCTCCAGTCGCTATTGTGTCTGGGAGCTCCTCAAAGCCCGAAAATTATAAAATACCATTATTCAACTATTAATTTTTTTTTTTTTTTTTTTTTTGTTTTTTTTTGTTTTTTTTTGCGGCGATTAAATGAACACAGTACTGTTAAGACTTTAATTGACTATTGCGGACTGCAGTGAAATAATAAAATATAATAATTCATTATTATTCATTATTGTGCGAGTGATTATTTTTTTACACCAATTATTAAATACTGAAATGACGTTAAAAATTACTTTTGCAATACATAATTTATCTGTACACATCAAAGCGAAAATGGAAATCTTTGTTACGTGTTGGCTTCGAAACTACTTATTTAATCGTCACGGATTTTTTTCTCTAAATTAAAGAGGACATCACAGAGCCGGTTTTAGGCATACATTCAGTCCGGTCAAGTCAGGGGTGTTGCGAACGTGGGGGGGGGTTATAGGTTGTGCCTACCCCCCCCCCCCCCCTCAAGATGTTTTTGTCAGTCGGCAAAATGTCAAGGTTATTTTATTAATAAAATCGTCGTCACTGATGTCGGGGTTGCAGTTAGTGTTTGTAGTATTATCATTATAAACTATGTAGACCGTAGACGTGTCCGACTAGGGCTCGTAGATAATAATGTGCATAAACTTGGTGGTTATTCTTGTTGCTAATGAGCGGTTTTTTATGCTATAATAGTAGCTGCGAACGTATGGGCACACCGCCGTACGGTTTAGATCGATTGGATGCTGAAATATTCTGGAAATATCCGCGTTATCGTGACAACGGTACAACGCGCGAACGTTGCAGACGCGCCGCCGGGAGTGGAGGAGTGCGCGCGGTTTTTGATTCGCGTAATGATCCGGCGCTTTTTTTTAGCCGTGATTATTAATTTAATATCGTAAATTTGTACGTTGGCGATTGCCGCGATAACGTAATTCAGTAGTTTTCCAGTGCGATACAAGAACGTAAGTGTTCGTAATAATTATTATTTACTATTACACGTGTTTAATATTTTTAGGCGACAAACGCAGGATATAGTAATTGCCTTTTACCGTTTATACGGTTTACATTGGCGTTTGGTTGGACGAGGGGGCCTTCGAGACCAAGTTTCTTCCTAGAAATCTTTAACTACTCACTGATTTCAAATATTCCATTAATAATAATAATAAAATATTATACACTCGGACGTTTTTTAACTGAATCACAAAGCGTATCTCAAAGCAATCTCAAGGTGTACAATATGCTACGGCGTTAGATGTTTTGACGGGTTTGACGGGTTTCATTCAAATTTAAAAACAATTATGCATGCCGACGGCCGGTTCAGGGGTACCGTTGACAGTTGATTACGAAAAGAACGTTTTGAGCGCGACAAATAATTGTGTATTCATTGTACACTCGTAGTAAGGTAATTATAAAAAATACATTATACATATATATATATATATTTTTAAATCCATTATCAGGGCCCGGATTTATATGCTCTAAAAACCTTAGAAATATGCACTATAAAATACGCATTTATGCTCTCATTTTGTAAAAATATACCCTTTTGAAATGAAACACATGCACGCGCAAAAACTCGATTTTCAAAAAAAAAAAAAAAAATGTATACATTTGTAATAATTCAATCTTTATTTTTAAGTGGGCACAAACGATCGATTTGTAATGGTATTTTCGACATTTTTCAAACTTACAAGCAATACAAAAAATATTCCTATAATTATTTTTAAACTGATGTAACCGAAATATTACATACCATGTCAATATCTTCTATATTATCTTGTCGACAGCGATTTACGCGATACAATATTATGTTGTTTGTCCGTACGACAACGTCTTATCGGTGACACTGCGGATTGATTTCCGAATAATATTATTCGCCGTTCAACGTCTTCGCGTCAGTCGACAATGGACGTGAGTTCGGAGGAAACTATGAACGGCCGGCGGGCATCGTCCGGTGGCGTACAGCGTAACAGTGGCGACAGTCGTGCCGGTGGCGGAGTGCACGAAGGAGGATCGAAATTTCGGTCATACGTCGGCGGTGGAACGCGGGACGGGTGCCCGAACCGCTTCAGTTCGTACGCGAAGATGAGAAATGCATCATGCGAGCTTTTCCGACACTGCGGACTTACCGTATTTTGTCGGATTACAATACGTTGACGTTGCGATAAATCGCCGACAGAGAAATGTAGCTTTTGAGAACGCAACACCAAACTCACGAGCCGTACGTGTGATAGCAAATCCTAGGACCGAAAAAAAAAATATATTTAAACGCATTACGATTAATACGCATACCGCACTCATTTTTAGGATGCCTTTTTTTTTTTTTTTTTTTTTACATTTATTTTAGACTTTCTAATTAACATTATGGGTAGGCCAATACGCATCATATTATTTTCACGTAAAAGAAAAAAGATTCATTTCTACGACGTGATATGACGTGCAAAGTGTAAAAAATAAGAAAACAAAATATTATGTCCAACGATTTTCCGGAAAAAAGTCCTAAAATCCATTTATCGAACCTAAACTTTGGAGTCACGCCTGAAATTATACGGATTAGTAATTTTAACATGAACAATTATTTTCGATATTTTTTTTTTACTCACGTTCGTAAAATATGCATGTTAAATATATTTTCTCTAACTTGCAATCCACCCCTTACTGTTGTATTGGTATCCAGTCATTACGGTTAAAGATATTTTGATGAATCGTTTTTGGTGAGTGGACATATCAGCGAAACAATTTTTTTTGTTTATAGTAAAAATGCAGAGAAAAAGACTTTTTAGGTAGCTTATTATTTCCTCGTTTGAATAATTTTCTACCTTTGACAAATTGGATATTTGGAGTGAAAATAATAATAATTAAAAAAGTAAAAGTACAAAACCAATCGAACTAAAAATCAATATTGTGTGAAAAACTTTTAAGTTAACTTATTATATCTTCGTTTGAATAATTTTCCAACCTTTTTTTTTATATTTTTTCCATGGTTTTTCCCATTTTAACTTTTGTTGCTCTTCTTTACCAACCTCAACGTGTGCAACTTTCAAATCGGCTATTTGGGCCTCTCTTTGAAGACCTTCAAAAATCTTCCAAATTTTTATACGATGACCACCAACTTGTTTTTGAAGGTTATCATGGCATCTTTCCAAACTATTATTTATACGAGTTAGTCCAAGTATGGCAGTTTCGTAAGTATTCCACTTTGTCTCATTGGCCTTCCTATAAAACACGAAATTAGAAGATTTAGTAAAGAATTATATAACACAATGCAACGCAACTTTTTTTTATACCTAACCTACCGATAAAATTATCTTCAATATAATCTACTACAGACAAAATAGATTGCTGGTAAATTGTCAACTAGTTCGATACATCCGTTCGCTGAAAACAATCCACCAAAACGTCTTTCGCTGAATTGCCTTTCGCCAAGATATCCTAGAACCCGTCGTGTTAGCATTAGTTATACTATTATATTTGGTTAAAGTCCGTTGTTCGGTTGTTGTTTGTCGTTTAACAAATTCGGGCCATTAAAGTCATTTAATTTGAAAGCCGTTTGAATGTCGGTGTACTTTCAAATTACAAATTCGGTAGATCATTAGGAACGGCCAGTGTGATGTTTGAAAACCCTGCGTCAACGATATTTATACAATACATTAATTTTCTGAAATTTTTGTTATCGATCGGTCGTTTTAGATCGTCCTATGAAAATAAAACTCGGCAATTTTTCGAACATTGTTAACTATAATTTATATCTCGGTAGACCGGCAACAATAATATCGTATAAAATACTCGTGGAGATGGTATGTAACTACTTATATTTTAATAGGTTTTTTATTTGTTGTTCGGTATTGCCATTTGACGATTGTTTTAATATAGGAATTCTGCGTAACCGAGGTAATGTCAGAGGAAGTCGCGGAAATAATAACCGTGGCAAATTCAGAAGGAGTGGCCGAGAAGCCGAAAAAAATAGCGACAACCAAAGACGAACTAGACGAGCAACTTGATAGTTTTATGGAACTCAGAAATAGCTATACGTGTTAACTAAAAATAAACTATAACTATGCGATTATACGTGTTTATATATATTTAATATTTATCTAATAATGTTTCCTTTGTATAGAATGATTTGTGGTAATGCCATGGTTTTAGTGTGTTTTATAAATTAAAACGCAATTCGATTAATTCATTTTTATTGATACCTCGATTGAATAATATAAATTTGCCGTAGTATATAATTTGAAGGTTCAATTTTAAATCTTTAGGTTCAGGTTTTTCTTCGTCTGTGGTCAAGAGCAACAATTTTTTTTTCACAATATACGGGTGAGACGTGTAGAGAAATACGACGGTAAAAATGAAATAAAATTGACTTAAAAACGGACTGTAATATTGTTGCGACACTCGCGATGATGAGTCAATTTGTTAGTAACAATAATATTCTTGAAAATATGGTATCATCGTGAAAAAACGGTTCAACGGAAACAAAAAATTGGATAAAATATATGAATACAAGTTTACGTTTGTTAATAACTGCAATATAATAGTAGGAAATATGACGACATTTGTGAATATTAAATTATTATTGTCTAACATACTCGCGATCGCGGCGCACGTGTGTTATGAAAACATAATATTGTATTTAATAATCGAGTAAATGAAAAAAAAAACTTAAAAACATCCGTGAGCAGCAGAGCTCCGTCAATAGAGCCGAATTTCGCCTTCCCTCCCATTTCGTATAATAGACAAATTCTTTGCAAAATTGTAAAGAACCGAACGCTATTAATGATATCGGGGCCAAGGGTAGTCATTTAACTTACATAAGGGGCGCGAAAATTGTTCTACTGTCATTAAAAAAAAAAAAAAAAAAAAACAACGGAAACTCGTAATTTCATTGAATTTTAGCTGATTTATATGTTCATAGATGATGTTTGAAGTCTGATGCTACCGGCGTCGGTCTAACTGGACACAATACGAAACGCCTCAATAGTTTCCGGGTCAAATACGACAGAAATGTATAAAAATTACTACTAATAAGCCGGTCGCCAGCGTTGTCGGCGATATTATTTATATATTTTTTTTTTTTTTTATTTTTTTTGAAAAATCGTCGACTGCCGTGACGACGGCGACTACGCGTTTTAACCGAACATCATAACGACGTCGATTAGTTAACAATGTTATAAAACTTATTATATTGTGTACAGTTGACGGGCACGCGCTTAGATTTTTTTTAATTTAAACCGTATTAACACGTCCGACGCGATATATCAACACAGGGGTAGTTGATCGCCGTCGTCTGCGCTTTTATTCCGTCCGGGGATTTCTATTATTATTATTATTTTATTTTTTTTCATACTACGGCTTAGGTATATATAATATAGTATAACAGTTGATCTCGGTTTCGCTTTGTCTTTCCTCGTCCGGTCCGGCCGGAGAGATTTCCTTTTAATCTTTCGCGTCTGGGTCTCGGATACGCGCCGCCGCCTCCGGCTGCAGCAGCTATACGTATATAATATTATAGTCTCTTGATTCGCATCAATCTTTATCCAATTTAAAGCCGTCGGGTCTTTGCACGGCCGCGGCCGTCAGATAACTGTATGTATAATGTATATATATATGTATGCGTGTATACCCTCACTCTGCCCTTACCGCCGCCGCCACTGAAACGCCGGCAATTAATCAATTCATTTTTTCTCGTCCTCTTTCCCCTATATAATATAATATACCCTCCCCTATATCGCTCACATTTGCCCCTACGCGTCGCGCCACTCTCCCACCTCTCTCTCTCTCTCTATATATATATATATATATCGCAACAACACGACCAGATAACCACTGTTTAATGTACACGTATATACTGCAGTGTGCGCACACGTTTTCGCACGTATATATACATACGTCATAATATATAATATAGGTTTCGGTGGATTTAGCAAGAGCGGCGGCTCAGAAGAGCGAACGAATCGCGTGCGGCGGCGATGGAATATAATAATATTACGTTGTATACGCGGTTATGAGGACGCGATGACGATGCGGTGTACGACATATAGTAATATATACCGCGTGTAGAGGGACAGAGAGTAGACCGTAACGTCAATATAAGAGAATGCGACGGAATTTCGGTATTCGATTTTCGAAAAAAAAAGTATTTCACGACGCCTGCGGGCTGCGATCATCGTTGCCCGTGCCGGCGCCGCAGAACGCACGGGGAACGACACGATCGCGGATAAAAAGAATTACGAGCCTTATTTTTTTTTTCTTTCTTTCCGGCGCGCAATAATTCAATAATAATAATAATAATAATAAACCGATGACTGCGACGATGTAAACGGGTGAACAAAAAAAAATATATATTATGAAGCTCTATGCCCGGAATCGCGCGGCAATATGCGCGCCTAACCTTTTTCGTATTGCGCGCGTGTTGTTGTACAGCACACACGCGTATATATTATGGAAAATGTGAGAAATAGGAAGAGGATGTCGGAGGCGACGGCGGCGCATAGCAGCGTAATATCGGGTCCATTAGTGTAATCGCGCCTGCCGGGAGCTTTTTGACAAATGGCTTTCGTGTCGGAGGCGGTAAAACGGCGGCGCGCGGCGGTCATGGCGGCGGTCGTATTATTTTAATATTATTAATATTAATTGTTCGGCGCCCGAAGAAAAGGATAATTGACTACGGCAAGACACCCCGCGTCTGTTGCCGAGTACAAAGCGCATACCCGGCTGGTATACGCAGGTACAATATGGGTACGCTCGTGTACCATAGTATCAAAGCGTACGTTGCGCCGCGGACCCAGACTCAAACGGCACGCACGATGTTGCATAATGTACGACGTGCATTAACGCCCGGGCGTATCGTCGAAACCGACATTGTAAAATTCGATTTTTACCATCGACCCCCCCTCGTTTAACGGGGCGCAGACGATCGGCTTTTCGATAATACTATACAATACAATTACTACGAAACGTGTTCCGTAGGCCGTGTAACTACGAGCGAAACCGAAAACAGAAGACTTGAAGCGGGCCGGCCGTGTTGTTTGGCGAAAAATGCGGGCACGTTGATTGGAGCCGTGACCCGTCAATGGACGTCAATGGACGTCAAGAAGGGAGGAATGTTTAAAAAAACATATTGTGACTGTAGAGACTCGGAGGTGAATCGGAAAGAATTGGCGGAAGAGAGAGTTTGAGGAGAATTCGTCTCACGGAATAGTCTTGAAATGCCGAAATCGGAAGAAGAAAAAAAAGATAATACAGTTAACGGAGAAAAGGCACGCAACAAAAAAAGAGCGTGCATCTTAAAACGTAATTGTCTTTATGTCTACGTATACGTATATGTATGTGTGTGTGTGTGTGTGTGTGTGCCATAGTTTCCGTTCGGGGTGGGCCGGTAATAGAAGGGGAGTTACGTGGCGGGCGATAAGCCCCAAACTTGAAAATTTAGACTGCCGTGAGTGAAATTCCGAAATCATTTATCGGACAGTTTTGAAGTGAACATGAGCCTGGACCAAGGTGATCTATCGCTGGCGTCTATACTTTTCAATTTAACCAGTGAGAAGGTGATACGGACAATGCTAAAAGATCAAATCAAGAGATGGAAGTTTTAGGAAAAACCACTATACTGGCATATGATACGGATGGTGATTGGAAACACCCGTGGTAAATCAAATGAGGTAGTAAAAAAAACTGAAGATTTAATTAAATTAGTCAAATCAATGGATCTTAAAGTCAACCAAGATAAAACAAAATATTTGTTAGTAGATGTAACTGAAATTTTACGAACCGAGTTGCCGGAAATCACACATTTCAAACAGTAAAGAATTTTAAATATCTATCTGTAAAAACAAAAATCAATCAAAAACTATGCAAAATGAAATCAATTTAAGAATCTCGGCAGCAAATAAAAGATATTTTGTGTTAGTAAAGGTATTTAAATCCAAACTTTTATCTAGAAGTCCAAAGTTTAACCTATACTTAAGCTACTTACACACAATCTTAATAAATGGTTGCAAAAGAAATGAGACGAAGAAATATTATTCGTTTTTAAAAGGAAATCGCCTCCTCGAATTTATCGTCCGATTGCTGAAAATGGAACGTAAGTAAGAACAAACGTAGAATCTACCAGCTTTTTCAAAAACCAAACGTAAAAACATTTGTCAGAATCAAACGGATAGAGTGGGCCAGGCACGTTTGGATTAGTGTGTGTAAACAAGTACTGGTAGGAGAAGTCGACGACCCAGATGCCGCCATAGGCAAAAGTGGATTGACTCATTGAGACCTGCAAAAGGTGGCACAAGCAATGAAGGTAGAAGCGACCAACGATAGGAAGAGGTGGTGGGAAGATGTGGAAACAGCGAAGGCCTTCGATGCGATGTAAAAGCTTAAGAAAAAGAATTCGTGCGTTTAGGTAGGTAAAGCTGCACGTCTTTTGAACTCGTTCGAAGTACTAGGCAATTCGTAACGAGCATAATTTGGCAAGACATGATGCAGTTGCTAGGTGAAAAATTGAAATGTGTAAATGTCATTTTTTATTAGCAAAATTTGTATACGAATGTCAAATATAATATGACTATTGTGCGACATTTAAATTATTTCCGAAACCTACAATAAATACCTACCTAATAACAACTCCCTTGACCATCAATAAAAAATTAAGATACGACAAGGCCAAATAGACTGTAGTACGTATTACGATAAAATATAATTATCATTGTGTCTTTTTCTTTTTTCTTTCATTATATAACAATTATACGACAATTTATCAATAAATTAAAATTAGAAACGGGACCAGTTAGATTTTCGGCCACTGCAGTAAGTAGTTTCCTTTTGAAACCGTGCTGCAATATTATATATGATAATAAATACAGGTTAAACGCGATATTTTATTTAGATCGCTGATTGAAAAATAAAATAATTAAATCCCAACGTTTCGGTCTTTGTTGATAAATTAATTGTTTAAACAATTTGTATGTTAAATCGAGACGTTCTAATCGGGGTCGTTTTGTGTGCGAAAACGATGGGTACCTACCTAAATATAATACAGGTAAATTGCATTGGGTACCGAATAGTTTTAACTGATTGAATTACAATCAGTCCGCAAATAACATTACAATGTAGTGCCTATTACGTTATATTATTGATTTAATTGATACCGTTAGGAATTTATAATCCAAAATGCATTTTACGCTTCGGATATCGGGTTATCAATTTAATTATATACTTGTATTATAATCTGAAAACAAGGGACTACAGTCAATACACAGGGTGTCCCACAAAGGTGGGACACCCATTATAATATCTCCGGAGAAAACAAAGACAATCAAATTCTGTGATCATCGCATACATGCAGGGATAAGGACTACAAAATATTTATTTTTCAATTAATTTTTTTTTTTCATGTTTTCGTAAAACACTTGAAAAAAATGACTTTTAATTTTCTTATTTTTGAAAAATTTGAAGATGACAATTTCGTAGAATTTATTTGTCTGGACATTTTAACGTATCAATTTATTTTTATTAAATTCGTGATTTTTAGCAATTTTTTTAATTTCAAAGAAAAAAAAGACATCCTAGGATAATAATGGTGACAAGTGCAGCCACAGTTATAGTTAATCTAATGTATATCTGTAAGCAACGATGAACCATTGCTAACGAAAAAAAAAACGATTCTGAGCGCAATTCAGTTTATAGTGATGCTTTGTCAACAATATATATGCCATATTATGGTAAAATAACTAAGTAGGCATTATATATTTTCTTTAATAATATTTGTTTACTATTGTACCGATTTTCCGGTTTTTGTGATTTCACGGTTTCTCACATTTGTTGAGAACACTCCAGGGAAAATCGAGAAATTAATTACCCAAAGTACCTTCTCAGTCAGATTTCTTTTTGGAAAATTACTATCATTTTAAATCAGAGCGAAATTGCTAGTAAAAAAGTTGGACACAGAACAAAAAGTCCATAATATTTTTTTATTAATATCTATATTTCGTATATTTTTCGTTTTTCCGACATTTATCCCGGTTTTTCCCAGATTTTATGAAAACCCCTTAAAAAATCAAAAAATAACTTCTCTAAATTACTATATAGATAAATTTCCTTTCAGAAAATAAACTACACTTGATAAGTCGGAGCAAGATTTCTGTGTAAAAGTTTTCACAACAAATCGAAGGGTATTTCATGATTAAAATAGTCTGAGGGAACGATTACTTGGTTTTCTAGGTATATCCAAAATGTTTTTTCCTTATTTAGGTAAAAAAAAATGCAAACAATTTTTTTTTTCGTGTCACACTAGTCTGAACTCGGAACTCTTAAGATCCATTATATGACGACGAATATACTTTAAAAAAGAAAATATAGTTATTTAACATAACATTTAATATTTCCATGATATTAGAACTTCAAAAAGCTATAATTTTGAAACTTTATCCGCTGAATTCTGACTTCATCATTGTTCTTTAATCGGAAATATCTATACATGTGTTTCAAAAAAAAAAAAAAATTGAAAAATTACATTTGTTTCACATAATTTTTTAATCTTAATTTGATATTAAAATTCCTCTATAAAATATATACTGCATTAAAATCATTTTTTTTTTTTACTACAAAGTAAGAAAATTCTTAATAAACCTTCTGTTAAATTTTCAAGCATTTCTGATCAAGTCTAACAATTTTACTACAGAGTACCTACCGAATAAATATTGCGTATAAAACTCTCAAAATTAAAATCTCTAAATACCTAAAAATGGCTTAATTTTTTTGAAAATTTGACCACTTCTAGGAAAAGTTAATATATGTTTTAACATGTTCAAATTTCAAGTCTCTGTGAATATTTTTACTGAATTACAACAATTAAAAAAAATTTAAAAATAATAAAAGCATTATTTTCGTAAAATTTTTGGTTTTCTTACGTTTATCCTGATTTTTTTTTTCCAGATATATGAAAACCGCTTGGAAAATAAAAAAATGATCCTCCGAAAGTACCATCTAGATAACATTCCCTTTCAGAAACGGTGCCGTCCGTATATGGTATATCTAATTAAGATTTCTGGTAGAGTTTTGTACACAGGATAAAAAATAAAAAAAAAAATAAAAAAATAAACATCTTAGTAAAACTAATATATTCTTCGCTACACTCAGAATCTAAAAATGAAAGTGTACAGTCAATTAGCCATAATAATAATAATCAATTAGCAATTGCCATTAGAGCCTACTGCGTAGTTATTGTTATTGGTATTTTTCCTCGTACGTTAAAAAGTTATTAAAAATCACGAAATTAATGGAAATTAAAAGTTGAAACGTCAACATTTTCAGAACAATAAATTCCACGAAATTGCTATCTATCAAATTTTTCGAAAATAACACAAAATAAGTTATTTTTTAAGTTTTTTTCAACAAACCGTAAACATTGAATTCACGTATAAATATTTTTAATCTTTATCCCTGCGAGTAATATGAAAAAAAAAAAAAATATATGAGTTTGATGATTATCTTTATTATCTCAGGAGATACTGCAATGGGTATATCTTTGTAGGACACTCTGACACCCTTTATAAGATATAATAAGATCAATTTCCTAATTCTTTATGTCAAACATCGTATATCCAGAGGATATTTCGACAAACATTGTTATTTTAAGTCGAATTCTCAATTGGATTCGACAAGAGTAGGTACTACATTACTATACATTTGTACTGCATAACGAATTGTTTTCAAAAAGTACAATGCAAATATTTAGTTACCATTGAATACATTTAATATAATTTATTAGCATATTATTTCAAAGTTTACATAGGAAAAAGTGTGGAGAGGCGTCGGGCAAATAATCTTATATCTCAACATTTCATTGCACTATAATAATATGTACTCCGTTTCTCAAATATATGTATACACACAAACATAGCAACTTGCATGAACCGTAGAATTAAATTAATGTAATAATAATATTATGTGCGAGGAGTAAGATGATTTATTTTAATTTAAAGTCGGGATTATGTTTATCTAATAAGTCCAAATTACGTACCATCTATACGATTTTATGTCTTGTATACGCCATAAGACATAAACTATAATATACGGCGTCTCGTAATAAACTTAAACTTGTTTTAAGTCTTTTATAATTACTATATAACTAACTGGTTATACATTTCTCCGTTCCCTCCACGAATCGAAATCTCGGCATCCGTTTATGTGCGCCGTTCGAATCGGCTTAAATTGTGAGTTGATTCCGAACGTCCAAACGTTGCCGCATACTGCAGTGGGTACCCGCCATAATACGCTACTGTGTCATTTCGGAACGTTCGTTTCCTGTTGTGCTATATCGATACAGTATACTGCGTTATGTTCGGTAATTCGTAGGGGTTTGATAATTCGCCATCTCAAACATAACTATTTAGTACATAAACGAACAACAACTATTGTAAGAAACCCGAACCGACGGAGTAATATGATCAATAACATTCGGGAATAGAGTATATTTAATTAGAGCACGTAGAGTTAGTAAGAGATAAAAAATAAAAAAAAAAATACAACAGACGGGTCGCGCTGTATGAGGAAAGGAGAAAACGAAAACGAATCGGGCAACGGTATAACCCCGAGGAAACCCTATGGTAGACATCCTCGAGGAAGTCCCGCGAACAAGGACACAGGTTGACGCGGTGGAAAACCGGTGGAGTCCGAGATGTTGTATAACGACGGATGCGGTGGCGAAATTATCCGATGACGTTCAAAGAAGTACAACAGACGAAATCGTCAATTCGAGCGTGGTTAATAATCGAAATTTCGGATTGATAGTAATTCGTTTAACGAGTCGCTTTTATGTAGCGAAATCGACGTACCCGTATTGTTGAAACGGTTCGCGTCATCATGGCGTTCGACACGTCGCGTGCGTTCATTCGATGCATCGCGGGTACCTATACGATAATAACAATTATTATTAATATAATGTATTATGCACTTGTATCATGTAGGTATACGGTAACTGCAGACTGATGGTATTCGACCGCGCACAGTCTCGAATAGCATAGTGTTATTGTGCGTTAATATTGTTTAACGACGCCAAAAAGTTAGCGGGACTTCATTAAACTGCAGTATAAACGCAGCGTGTTCGGAACTTGTATATACAGAGCGATTCGCACTAAGCGCACACGTCGCATTTTCGGTCGATTACATTTTGCGTGTATCCGAATTCCGATTTTTAAATGTATTCAAAGACTATATTTTCGTGTACTCGGGTTTTTCACTACATTTAAGGAGTATCCCGTGGCGGTA